CAACCTAATCGAAAAAGACGTAGCCAAACTACATCTGCTAAAACTAATACAAATAAACAAAGTCCACATACTACAAATAAGAACTCCTAACATGGACTCAAATAGAATGGCTGGTACATATAAACAAAACTTGTACTGAAAGTAAACAAAGAAAACAAACCACAACTGACACAAGACCTAATGGTTGTTTATCTTCCCTTCTATCAGCTCCCTTTGATCAATTTTTTAAATTCCAGCCACTCCTTCATTGCCATCTTGATAATCCACCACTCCGGTTGCCAAATTTTTTCAAATACCCATAGGTTTCGTGCTTTCCATAACCACCACAAAATATACGTTGATAATTGGATTCGTTCTTCATATGTTTCTGTGTAGTTCATGGAGCTTACCCACCACCACCACTGTTTAAAAGAAAGATGTTCTTCTTGAATCCTATTCCACTGAACAGATGCTAATTTCCATGTGTTCCTCGCTCTTGCACAGAAAAAAAGTGTATGCTCTAATGTTTCCTCATGCTCACCACATATCTGGCAGACCGTTTCTATCTCCATGCCTCTGTTTTTGATGTTGCAGTTGACTGGAACAATATTCGAAAAACACCTCCATACAAAATGCCTCACTTTGCCAATAACCTTGAGTCTCCAGCACCTCAATCGAGCCCTCTTATTATTTCTTGCCAAACAGCTGGTTTCCGCTCTAGTTCCTTCATGCACCTTCCCGGCTATCATCAGAGAGTATACTTTTTTGACTGAAAACATACCTTTCTCAGTAAAATTGCACTTCCATGTATACATAATCGATAATCAATTAGCAATTTTCAATCTTCAAATACCACCACATTCAAACATATTATATCAATTCTCAATCTCCAAACAACTTCAAATAATATAAAAAGTAAAGATAAGACAATATACCTCGTGCGAATGGATTAACCGGAAATGAGACTCGTGCCGGTGTTGTCGGTTCACTCCGTGATGAAGATTGGATCGAGTTTTTTTTTTTCACGCAGAAAATCGCGACTGGGTTTTTTTTATGTTCGTGTTTCTGCGTGAATGAAATAGAGAGGAAGAAATTTTTTTTTATATTAAACGTAAAAAATGCATTCTGAGAATACGTTTACCTACAATTTTATTGTAAAACGTATTCTCAGAATATGGTTTAATAAAATATTATTTTTTTCAAAAAAAAATTATTTTTCTCTTGAAACGTATTTTCATAATATGTTTTGCTAGAAAACGTATTTTCAAACTACGTTTTATAAAAATACATTTTAATTATTATTTGCCTATTATTTTTTTAAAAAAAAGTTTTTGTTTTAAAAAAATACATTTTACTTTTTTTTAAAAAAACGTATTATCGGAATACGTTTTCTTGATTAATTTTTTTAAAAAAACGTATTCTGAGAATACGGTTGTTTTGTTTTGGTCCACTTTTTTTTATTTATTTTATTTTTATTCACTTATTTTATTTTTTTTAAATAAATAAACTCCCCCGCATCTGATTGCTGTAATCTGGAGAAGGGTTTTTAGGGTTTTATTTTTCTCTTGGCAGCTCTCGCAAATTCATCAGAGCTTCAGAACATCAATGGGGAAAGGGGGAGACCTTTGGGACGATTCTGCCCTAGTCAAAGCCTTCGACGACGCCATTTCCAAATACAAGGCGCACTTTCCTCTCTTACAAATCCCAATTTGATTCATCATTTGTCGATTGCAATAATCATTTGTTTCATTGGACTCGATTTTGCAGGCTATGCACAGGATAAGCGGCCCGGATGTGGAGGAGAAGGCAAATACTGACAAAGAGGAAGCTCCGACGACTGTCGAAGCTGACGATGGAAACGACACGCTCCGATCCCATGATGAGTAAGTTTATCAATGCGAAGTGACATTAGGAATGAGAAATTTGACGGTGGCAGTGTCAATACGAGTGTTTTATTTGAAACAAAAGTTTGCATCTCAGTTCTTGCACATTAATGTTGATTTGTTGTCTTTTTATTACTTTTGTGTTGGTGCAGAAAGTCACCGAGTGATGAGAACCTTCACACGCAGCTGGAAGAAGGCACTGCTAAAAATGGAGAAAATGGCGAGCTTTCACAAATCAAGGAGAATTGTATCGATGTTCAAAATGGTGCCAATGGAGGAGGAGATTCTGCTGCAAAGCCATTTGATGTACATACTCAAAACCTGACTGCGTGGAATTCAAGTGCTCCCGAGGAATATAACGAGTTGCTGAACAAATATTACGAGCTCGAGGGACAGAGGCAGCAAGTTCTCCAGCAAATTAATCAATACAGCAGCTGGAATTATCAACATGCTGTGTCTAATGCATCCACTTCAGGGTATCAATCATGTGCTCCTCAACCCCACGATACTGTCACATGTTACTGCCCGTACGGCTGTCAAAACTGGGCTGTTCCAATTAATTCAGTACCCGCTTGTTGTTCGGGTAAGTCTAAGGATTCAACAATTCCTGGAGATTCTGATTTTGTTCAGAAGGCGATGTTTGCTGCCGAAAGAGCATTGTCTTCAATCAAGAAGGGAGCAGATGGAGGTAAAACTCTACAAAACTGGTCATTATTTTGCATATGAATTCAGTGCACGAGTTTATTATTTTATTTGTTTTATTTATTTATTTATTTTTTGTTAAAAAAAAATGGGCTAGTTGGGTGTTATGTGAGTTGGTGTAGCCTGCTGCTCAGACATTAGTATCTAACCACTAACCAGCTTCAAGATCTGTGGCTGTCTTGTGAATAAGTCATGATGTCTTATTAGTTATATTTGTTATAGCTAGACATGCTCCGGTTTGGGATTTAAATATATATTGCATTTGAATTGAAGTGTATTATTTGTATTGTTGGGATGGAAGAAAGTGACGATGCTGAAGGCGCTGAAAATTTACATAATTTTGAGCTTTCTTGAATTAGTGTTTTTTTTTTGTTTTTTTGGGTCCTGGTAGTTGAGGGAAAAACAAATACACACACACACATGTAATGGTATGAATAAGAAATACTTGAGCTTGCTGTGTGATCCCCTAAGCTATGTACTTTCTTGTTTGTATGTGTCAGTGGAAGACAAACATGCTGGGATTGAAGTAAGTGATGCTGCTAAAGACACCAAATCTTCTACTGATCTCGATGTGGTTCTAAGCGCTTGGTACCGTGCAGGCTTTTACACTGGAAAGTGAGTATCTGAATATTTCTAGAATTTAGAAACTGTTCTAACTGAGGTAGCATACTTAGCAATGTTTTTGTTTTCTTCCCCTTTACGATTCAATTAAAATACCGTATTTAGGTTGGAATTTTATTTTTCTAAAAAAGAGAGTGACCTAGTAAATGAACACAGTGCAAACACCAAAAGGGGATTCCAGCCTCCAACCGTATATCATTGACAGATTTATAATGTTTGCTATAAAAAGGTTAATTGCCCTTACACACAAATGGTTTCCTAATTATTCTCACGAAATCATGTCCAACTATAATTTAATTACATACCTTTATTCATTGTACTTACATATTACAAATGCATTAATCATACTCCCTTAACTTCTGTCAATAATCACATAAACTGGTCATTATATATAATCTAATTCCCAAAATTTGTAGGAAATACAAAACCCACTCGCGAGGTTCAACTAAGTTTCAGAAGAACTCTTATCGTTTAGAATACTTATCCTCCAATGTCTTTTTTTTTTTTATTTCGAGATTTCATCCTTTCAAAAGGTATTTGTTAGGTATTTACAAATATCACATGGGAAGAAGTAAAAGCCACCGAAGGAAGCTAAAATGGTTCATGAAGTCATTAGATTTGTGAATGTAATAAGATATAATGTCATTTAAGCTTAATAACATGTAGAAAAAATATGGGTGCAGGTAGGTTTCACGAGTAAGTAGATATTGGTAGCTTTTTAATGCTCGTCTGCAAAGAACATTACTTTAGACTTCGCAATAGCATTGGTTCTTGTCTAAATTTAAATTGTATTGTTTACTGAAATCCAGGTATATATCTGAGCAGTCTATGGAAAAGAGCAAACATAGTCAAAGCCCTTGAGCAAAAGCTCGTACTTTCTCTCGCGAATTATAGAAATATCGTCAAGCTCTCAAGGAGGAAAGAATTGTGACGTCTCATTGTTGGTTGGTTATTTTTATTCTGAGCTGCAATCATTTCAATGGTTCATGATGTGATGGTATGTATAAAACCAGCAAAGCATATACATTTTTTCTTCATGAGAACAATGCTGTTACTTTGGTTCTACTGACTTAACTTCTTCTATTTGAAAAATTGTCGACATTATTATCGGTTGAAATTTTCTTTACGCTTGGAAGAATACCACTTTCCTATCAAGCCAAACTAGAGCTTCATTATCGAACACATTAATAATTTGGAAGGTTTCTCAAACTTATAGAACTTAAAGACAAGCTTGGTAGATATTAATTGTTAATTAATTAATTAATGTAATGTTTGTGTAGTTCTTAAAGTTCCTTGTATAAAAACAATATTTCGAAGAACCGGTCCGACCGGGCATAGTTCTAAGAATCAGACTGGACTGGTCTGAATCAGCCGGGCATAGTTCTAAAAATTGGATTGGACTGGTCTGAATCGGCCGTTAATTTTAATATTTTTGAATATATTTTTGCTACAAATAAAAATCATATTTAAATATTGTGAATATGTGTAAATTGTTATATCAATTAGCTAAGACAACTAATGCTCCAAATCATCAAAAAATAAAAATAAAATAAAAAATTAACAAGAGATATTTTCTTATCAAAAAATTTAATACTAAAAATATTTCATGTATTAGAAATATAAAAAAAAAAAAAAAAAAAAAAA